AACACTATATATATATATATATATATATATATATATATATATTATTTCAATGATGAGTTACTTCTACCTGGAACTTGATTAACCACTTTTAATGAAATTTCCTCTCTCAATTACATTTTTTTCATTCATAAAACTCAAACTTAAGACTACTCAAACTAATAACTAATTCATATATTAAAGAAACTAAATACAATACCACTTGGACCAACATGTTGAAATGTCCATTTCACTTGAGTATCAAGGAAAGACTAAAGTGAAATAATATCATCCAAAACCTTTCGTAAAATACGACTAAATTGAATAGTGTTAAATAATTTTGGTAGTTAGACTTAAAAATCCTGTTAATAACATCAACAAAAAAACATTTTGACATTATCGAAGTTGAAGTACTAACAAAGTATTTGCCATTTAGATGATCAACCAAAAAAAAAATATCGATTTAAATTTCCTTGGCATTATTAATTGAAATCAATAATACTCAGACAATCAATAACAAAAACTTAAGTGATAGACCATTTGATACAATTAGTTAAGTCATTTTGTTTATACTAGTTAAAATCCGAGATCAAACTTGATTTCTTTTATGTTTTATATCATTCTATGTGAACTTATATTAGAGATGAGATAATCTAACTAAAATTTATTAAAGAAGTTGATAATTGACTCTAACCTTACATGAATTCATGCCTTGTCATAATCTAAACTTTTGTAACAAAAAAATTTGATAATACTCAAAACTTGAAAATCAGGCATGCCTTTATTTTTTAGTACCGATCCAACTACATTCCTTAGCTAAGATGAGTCTTGTTGAACGGTGTACAAGACTCTCCAAATAGTATTGATAACATTATTAACCTACATTATCAATGCATGAATTTATACAAAAATCAATATTAACCAACATTATGGCCAAACGTTTAATTCAGCAATGTATGTATTGAGTTAGGAACTGAAATGATTTCTACATATTACAGCTGTTAATTTGTTTCAAGACTTGATTACATACAAGAACCTCATTCTATATATATATATCATATAAGCAACAGATAACTCAGCTAAGATTGAATAGGGAATAACTCAAGCTTTTAAAGCAAAGGTCTCTGAGACTTGGGAAGGTTTTGTGCATACAAGTTATGTAGCATGTTGACATAGTTATCAATGTTTCTAAGTGTCCAATTTTCAGTGCTTATAGGAGGAAGATACTTGACACTAAGTGGTGCTGGTCGAACATGTAAGCTTCCTTTTCTCCATGCCAGATGAGTACCTGTTAGCACCATTGGAACTATGGGAAGACGCGATTGCAGTGCCAAATGAACAAAACCCTTCATAATAATAATGGATATATTAGTTCAAGGTGAGAAAAAAAAAACTTTAAGAATAATAATATCTTCATTGATTACATGAAGAGTTTAACCTTATACTCTCCATGCAAAAGTATTTACACTATCAACTAAACTATGATACCACATCTAAGTTCTATCCTTATAATAACAATATAAAAACTCTCCGACCTCTGCCATGTGTCACCACCTAGTATGTTGCAGACTCACTTTTTTTTTTCTTCTTCTTTTTCACTTATTATTATATCTTATTTATTTTACTGTCCCTTTCCTTTTTCGGTGACCGTGCAAATGGTTGACTGCACTAGTAGTATTATGATAATTCATAAGTTTAAATGAGGTTTTTCTTTTAGTTCATATAATTGAAGACGTTTAATTTTAGTTTTTATATATATACCGTTTTTTAACTGTATGGGCTAAAAGGTGAAGTGCATTAAATTATAACAATTAAAAGGGTGTTTAAACTTGATCCATATTTAGATGACAGAGTAAACAACAAATCTTTATTATGGAGTGTATTCCAACCAATTTCTTATATGAATACCATCCCTTGCCCAAAAAAGTGCATCTTTTGGTGAGTCAGAAGAACTAATAAACTATGTATTAGAATATAGATGAAAAGAAACTAAAGGTAGAGAGTTACTTTTTTGAAAGGCAGTAGTCTTCCACTTTTAGACCTTGTGCCCTCTGGAAAAATGATCAGTGACAGATTGTTCTTCACAACTGCACGAGCTGCCTAAGCATTACATTCATTAGAGATTAGAACCTTACACTAGTATTAGTATATGATAGATAAATGATACAAGGGAAAATGTTGTATACACCTCTTTCATGGACTGAATAGCGGCAATTGAATTGGACCGGTCAATTCGAAGATGATTGGCCAAAACATAAAGTTGGCCAAATAGAGGATACCATATTATCTGCATAGGAATGCTGGTTAAAAAAATTCTGAATACTTTCCTTGTTTAGAAGCCATTTTTGACCCATTGATTCCCATTTCCATAGCTTTGATAAGAACAATTGCAATCTTGAGTGTGTGGAGTGCCATAGGATATTTAGGATCTGTTTGGATAAACTTTACTGGAAACACTTTTAAGAGATCAAAATAGTGTAAAAAAAATCAAACAAGCTTGTCTATAAGTTAAAATTAATTTATGTATAAGCTAATTTATAAAAGGACATTCTTATCAACTTTTCCAAAATCTTATTTTTTAACTTATGTATAAGCTAGTTTTTAGTTTATTTCTATTTTTCTTCCTATTTTTTTCTCCTAAAAGGTCTTATGGAGAAGTTTATTCAAACAAACCCTTAGTAAAATTTAAACATTCTAAGGTGAAATTTTTTCCATAAAACACTGCAAGGCATCAATTGAATTGTCTTGGTCATGGCATAAGTAACTTTTAGCTAAGCCTAAAAAAAATGTTATGCTTAACCACAAAGCATTACAACATACCTCCTTCTTTGCAATTCCAACGGTACCAGTTGGAGTCAACCACATTATCAAAAATATGTCAATTGGAGATGCATGATTGCTGATGTAAATGGCCCGCTTGTTAGAGTACTCAGCACCTTCAATTTTTATAGGATTCCCAAGAATCCACATCTGCATCAATGTTTAGAATATCATTCACAACTTGTTAATAAATCCTAACAATTTAGTTATTAGTAATTATGCTATCAAAATTGTGAAGACTGAAAGTGGGACTTCAAAGACATGCTCTTTTTAAAATGGTGTTAACATTAGGAAACCTTTTGACTAATTGAACATACTGCCATTATGGATGCTATGAAGTGAAGCATGGGTAATTTACCTGAAATTTATTCAGATTACCATTTAAATTTGATATAATTGAATGTTTTGGAGATGTGCATGACCTTATGTTTGCATTTCTAAAGCATTTGAATTGTTTATTTGAATGTCATATAAGGAAGGAATAGAATCTTTGATACATTGTTGAAGGAATCCAACAACAAACAATTGTCTGGCTTAAAGAATCTTCCTCTGCAGTTCCAGATAACAGAAAAAAAAAAAAAAAACAATACACAAACCAACATATGATTAATATAACACCTTACTGAAACAGAATTATCACTGATCACCACTAAATTGGCGAGGTCAATGATTGACTTTGAGAAGAATTCATGGTTAATGGAAATCTAAATTGATAACTATGAGATGATATTATGGCTCTATGATATGACTAAAACCAAGTAACTGAAATAGCATTTTCAAACTGCACAAGATTCAAATATATATGACGTCTAAAAACTCTAAGCAACCAACCAAATAATTATTGAACAATACTCGATCCTTTTTATATTGTGACTCAAATATAACAATAAGTAAACAAAACAAAAAAAAAAATAGAAATATTGAACAGCAATTCACTCCTAAACATGCAGCATCAAGCAAGTTGATATAATTTCCAAACTGAGTACATCTTACCAACATTCTACCAGTCACATGCCCATAAATGTTTCCTTGCCTAATCCTCTCACAAGGCCATGGTATAAGCACAAGCATGATCAAAGCCCAGATAAACGTTGTGACCATCATAGAAACAAAACAAATCACAATTCTGATCCAAGATATGATCACAGGAATCCACCCATCATCATCATTCACAAAAACATCCATCACATGCCTTTGTTCAGATTCATCTTTTACGGAAACTTTTTGAGTTTCTACCACCCTCTTCTCAGAGTTTGTGCTCGAGAAGCTCTCCAACCTTTTACTCCTCAAAAAAGCACCAAACCTAAAATTCTCCATGACTACTCAAAATCCCTGAAGACTGTGATAATTATATAGGCCACCTGAACAGGACAAAAGCAGATCAGATAAAAACTCACTTCAAATATCACATTCTGATTGGTTGCTGAGAAAATCTGATCAGAAAAATTACCCAAAAGGAAAAAAAAAAAAAATCTTCCATTTTGGCCTAGAAAATCCAACTATTTTATACTTTACAGAAAAAATTCTTTCACTATTTCATTAAATTGTAAGCAACCATGTATCCTTTTTGGTTCAAACATTTTCTTTTCATTGTCGCTTGTTTCATTAGATTTATAAACAAGCTAAATATGATTCAAAAAAAAATGTTCATTTTAACTCAATAGAAAGCTTGCACAGACCAAACAGCTCCATGATCAAACAGAACCAATCAGAAAGGGAGAGGAAGAGAGATAACATAACAAACAAACAAAAAAGTTCTTTCTTTTCTCAGGAAACCGAATGAAGAAATTGCAACCATAGTCTTTTTTCTCTTTTGGTTACCATATTAAGAAAAACAACAACAAATATCAAAAACGGTTCAAAATGGCATTTTTTTTTAATATTTTTTTATCTTTGGCACTTTGAAGGCAAAGTTGTTGTTGTTGGTTTCCTACCCAGATTCTGATCAGACAGTGAAACCAAAAACCATGTTCTTTTTCCTTCAGAAAACCAATAGTTGAGAAAATAACACACCAAACCAAACATTCCCAGTCCTTACCAAGCATGTGAGTTTGTGGGGGAAAGTGTTGTGAAGCAACAAAGGGAAAGAAAAGGGAGAAAAAGGAAAAGAAGTGGAAAAGTTGAACACTGATTTGGATGATGGGGAATGGAGAAGAAACAGAGTGAAGACAGAGAAATGGTCAGTGTAAGAGTGAGGAGAAAGTGAGAGTGTGACAATGAATTGACAATAACAACGAATGAAACATGTCATTTGTAAAAGCAGAATACAAACGCTACCCACGTTTTTTTTTTTTCTTCTTCTCGCTTACTGATTATTATTCCCTCGTGTAATTTTTACAATATTTTAATCTAATCACGCTAATTAATTAATATACATGGTTATATTTGTTAATTTTATTGAATTTATAAAATAAATTTATAATTTATCAATTTTATTTTTTTATTGATTATAATTTTTTTTGAGTGAAGTGAAAATACTATGTTATGTCAATGTTTATGTATCCATATTAATAAAAATGATAACTCTCAATTGAATAAAGTTTAAAAAGTGAGAGAGAAAGACACATATTGTTACAATCTTTTAATAGGGGAAAAACATAATTTTGTCTAGAAATTATAAGATGCAGGGATAACAAATAAATTTGTACACATAAGTACCATTTGAATCTGTCCCGATTTAGACAGGGAATATTAGTTTGATTGAACACTAGTATGATGCAAGTGTGCAAGAGAACGGAGATGAATATATAGCCGTTTCGTACCAATCTTTGTAGTCGTCCTCATTTTCTTTTTAAATTTTTAGAAACCTAATTTATTTTTTAAAAAATTTACTTGAGATTTATGTAATTTTTATTCTATTTAAAATTTATGTCAAATCAAACTTAATTAATATATTTTTGTAATTATTATTCTACATTAAAATCCTTTTTATATATTTTTTTGCAAAAAAAATATTTAATTAATTTATGGACAAATATGGGTATACTCAATACTTAACAAGAATAGGAATAAAATGCAAATTTCATATTCATTGAGTATGGGGACAAGAATTAGGATAAGATATGAACTTAGGGATGGACTTAGGGATGGAGACGAGGATATTGAAACTCAAATTAACACTACCCGTTGCCATTCTTAATAAGATACCTTTTAAAAATGAAAAAAAAAATTCTTCTTATTATGTCTTATAATAAAGATAGAGGGAACAATAAATAAAAAATCACTTTTGAGTAAAAAATTATTATAGTAAGAAATTGAATGGTGATTTTTTTAGGATTAAAATTGTTTTATGTCATCTAACAAAAAGAAATATGTTTTAATCTTTAAATTTTTGTCAATTTTTGTTTTTAATCTTTGTACAAATTTAATATGATTTTACTCCGTGAAATTTTTTGACATGAACAAAATTTTTTTGATGCTAGTACCAAAATTTTAATAGAAGAAAAAATTTAAAAATTAAAGTTCAAGGATTAAAATCAGCATAAAAAAATAGGAACTAAAAATAAAAATTGACAAAAATTTAAGAATTAAAATATATTTAATTTTTTTATTACAAATAATGAATAGTTTTAAAAGTTATAAACTGCTTAATATGAATCTTTTGATCATTAAAATGGTATGTAAGAGATGATACTGACCATCAAGCATAGAGTCAATAACATGATAAACATCCTCAATCAAATATCATTGTTCATCTAATATGAAACTAAGAGTAAAAATGTTTAATAAGAAAGTGAGAATTGAAAAGAATAATTACTAAAAAATATATTCTCTTTTGTAATAAGTATAAATATTTTATTAATTTTTTGAAAGATAAATTTATGTATGTTTGACTAAATATGAAATGAAATCTAATATAAAAGTTATGTACTGTAAATTTATTTTAGTTAAATTAATGTGCTTATAATATTTAGAAAATATTAAAATAGGCATGTTGGCCGGTGTCAATTTTTCTAATTAAGTGATATTAATAAATTTCAAATTCTTATAATTATTAAATATATATATATATATAATATTTTAAATTTTAAATACACTTTTACTCGCTATAAAATAAGTTATATTTGATTTTAGTATTTGTTAAAAAAAATTAATTATTATCTTTCAAAATTTTGTAATTATTGTTTTTAACCAAATTCTCATATGATACTCATTAATATTATAAAAGAGTAGAAGGGATAAAGAGCTATTTCGACAACTTATTTCATCTCAACTTTCACAATGTAATGAACATATTCAACATCTCAATTTTGAACAACTTTTACAACATTAATAACTTGGCACAAACAAATTATGCAACTTAATAACTTTAATAGTTTTTGCATCATCACACATTTTTCAACTTCCAAGATATCTTACAAATTAGTAAGTTGACTTAACCTTACCGAAGCACAAAGTTTAACCTATCACCTCTAGGTAAAATATAGAAAAATGTTATGCTTAAAAGTTAGTTAAACAAATTTAACAACTTATTTTACTTTCTCATATTTTTTCACTTAAATTAAGAAAGTTTAATACAATCGTTAGGTATAGAATAATTTGGGTGTGGGCCTATCACGATGTTAACATGCGTCAACTAAACCTTTTATAGAGTTAGCCCACTGATTATTCTTTTGGTATCACACACTTTTCTAACACTCAATTAAAGATTTTGGCCCCCAACTCCTTGCCCTACTCGTTGGCTACTTCTAATAAGTATGACTCGACTTATCCACCACACTATACACAACTCAAAATCTAGAGGGGACAACTTTGAAAACAACTCCCTATTCAGAAGGAAACTTCTACGTTGAATGGTTTCAACATTAGACTCGTAGATCACCACAACTTATATTCACATAATGTGCTATTTTAATATTATTTTTTTTCGAAAGAAGAAAAGTTAACTCATCATTTAAGATGTGGTAAATAATAGAGTGAATATGACTATAGTTTCTAGAACCATGATGAACTTCAGTTGCCTTGGCCAAGTTGTAGGAAACCAAGTTAGCTAATTTATTAACCTCACAATTGTTTAACCTGATAAGGATTTTCTTACATTTTCTGATGATTGTATCGAACCCTAAAACATCATTCTATGAGTTTTTCAACCCAATTACAACTCGTTGGCAATCTGTTTTGAATGAGATGTTCTCCAATTACTACTCTAGAGCCCATGAAAGGGCCTCATGAAGGGTGCAAGCTTCATGCTCAGAAGGTTTTTGGAAGAGAGCCAGTATATAGGTCTTGGCTTGCATGAAGGTTCATGCATGGTCACGAAATCCTAATACTAAATTTTTATCAAGGTTGCATTTGATTATTCTTGGAGTTGGAGGGATCCACTAAGCTTCTCGAGAGGGATTGTGATAGTTGATAAAAGGCTTAATAAGTTGCCTAGCTTGATTCCATGAAGATATAATTTTTTTTTTCCGAGTGAAGAATTTCAAAGTTATCCCAACTCTTGTCTTCCTAATGTTTTTTGTTTATGCTATACTAGATACTCCATAAAGTCATTGCAAACTCACATGCATGCTTGTGGTCCCAATTCTGCAATTTTGCAAAAATAAAGTTTTTTTCTTCTTCAAAATATTAGAATTTTCTTTTAATGAAATGATGTGATTACCAAAAGGGTAGTTATTCCAACAATGTTGGGCAACATAATATTCGAGAAATAGATGTCAATCGTTCTCAAATTGGTTATTGCAAAAGACACATTGAGATGGGCAAAACACTCCTCTATGTTGAAGGTTAACTCTCATAGGTAACACATTTCTATAGACTCTACTCAAAATTTTTTGACTTTATTAAGGATGTGGAGCTTCCAAATAGTATTCCAAGGTTCATCCTCCTTGAGGGGATAAGAGTGCGCAATGTGATATATGTTGAGCAAGCTCAAAATGAAGACATGATCTTAGTTAGTTTTGATGATTACAAATAAACCTCTTAAAAGATAAGAGTGCAACTTGTATCTTGTTTTGTGTTTTGAGCCATTTGAAAGAAAAGAGTGCAAGCTGTATCTTATTTGAGTGTTTAAAGCTTTGTTGTTTGTGTGCTTTGTGCTTGGTAAGTAACTTAGTCTTAAATCTCTATATAGATGATGATTGATGAAAAAAATAAGTTTTAAAATTGATTTATGAAGAGAAATAGTATAAAAAATTGAGATATTAAATTTTCACTTCAAAAAATAATCAATTATCTTTAATAATAATCAATTATTTATTTTATTTTTCAGTGAACTGAGTAACAGTTGCTATAATAATCGATTGTTTTGAGCAATAATCGATTATTTCAAAAACTGGTTTATGGAATAATCGATTATTGCTCAAAATGATTGATTAAAGTATTTTTGGTTGATTTCCAAATCTACGTACTAAGAACAAAATAATTGTTATCCATATAAATAATCAATTATTTTAGTCAGAAAACTTATAAATATCATTTTTCATATTCAAAATAGAGAGACTAGAATTTTTGTGATATCTTTTTCAAAAATACTCTCTAAGAAACATTTTTCTTTGTAAGAAAAGGTTTTTTTTAACCTTTTTAGTAACCTCAAGAAAGATTTCAAGATTTGAATTGATCATCATATTCATAGAGTGAATGGATAAGCTACTTGGTTGATTCACTTACTCTAACTTGTTCTGTGCATTAGATGAATTCGTTCCTTAACTTTTGTATTATATTTTTTTTAAGTAGGTTTCTTAAGAAAGGAAAATCTTGTAGTGGTGTGCTATAAGTGAAATTTAGTCTAGATATCATTAAATGTTATTTGGTATGTCATTTATTTAATGTCAAATTATCAGCGATAAACCTATATTCTACAAAAATCATATGTTACATGGATATGCATTTGGCCAATAGAGATTTAAGTCTATTAGCCAAATTTTTTGCCAAGATCTTATAAATTACGTTACAAAGTACAATGGGTTTAAAATTCTTAATAATGTTAGGATTCTCAATTTTGGGAATGAGGACAATATTCATATCATTAAGTGTAATAGGGAAGAACCCTTCTCAAGCCAAAACTTGTAGGACTTAAAAAATCCTCCCCACACACCTCCTAGAAATGTTTGTAAAACCCAAGGTTAAAAACGATGGGGCTTGGAGCTTTATCAACATGCATTTGTAATATGGCTAGGTGAACTTCTTCTTTAATTATTGGGGACATGAGGGAAATGTTGTCCTCGTTTGTGATCCTACTCTTTATAACGCTAACAATTGGTTGAGTGTCCACTACTTTTGCCTTGAATAAATCTATA